AAACATTTGCGTTGTGGAAATTTTGTATTCCTAATTATATTCATACAGCTATTTCACGGTTTCACAATTAGATCAAATGGTCATTTCGGGGGTATCTTGTCCATTTCGGGCAAAAGCGTGAATATAATATATATATATATAAAGAAATATTTAATGATCCATTGCTTTCGTTTCACTGTGCTTTTCCTACAGCAAAACGATTTGATTGTTTGATATCAAATGTCCCCAGTAAATCTGAGTCAGAATGAGCAAATAAACAATTTTGTAAAAAAAAAACATATAGTGTCAATGTTGATATGAGGCAGTAAACCGATTCATTTACATCGAGTTGACGTAGATTTCCACCATAGTTATAGTTTGAATTTCAGAAAGGCGCTAACTCCAACATAATGCATGATTACGGGGATGGACGTTTATTTTATAACATAAAAACCTGTTCTTCGTAAATTGAATCAACATGGATTTGGTTTTTCATCCAGATGCATCATTACTTAGTAAATTTGAACATCACAGTATTAGGAAAACGAATAAGGAAGTAATGTGCGCTGTTCATTACACAACAACATTACTCAGATTTAGTTGGAATCGTAACAATGAGTTGCGTGTTTTGTCGGAATTCCTCTGCGCTAAAATAGTTAGATGGGCGAAAATTTACTTAGTTTACCTCTCCCGATAGATTGGAAAGTCAACCAGGCGGTCTAAACGTACGGATGAGTATGGCCTTCTGTGCGATTAGCAGTCTGGTACCATGAAAGCAAGTTCAACTTCTCTCGGTGAAAATACTTTGAAATAAAAACGAGCAATGCCGAAATTTTTAGAATAAATTTCTCGAGAGATTTCTCCGTGAAACTTGAGAAAATCACTTAAAATCAGAAAGTAAAGTAACAGACAAGAAAACGTGGTTCGAATTGTCATGACCAGACGGCCTACCTATAGATAGTGATAGATATCGACTTTAGTTGTTGTATAGCCATAGAAGATTCACACAACTTACAGAAAATCGAACTCTTGCAGACAAACGGCAAATGCAGTGCCGTCGAGTCACAGTATCTCATTTAAAAAGAATCAGTGCATAAAATCTGTTTCATGCACTTAATTAAAAATATATTACTTCAGATCGTTGGTTGTTAAATTTCCTAAAATATTGCACCGAATTTGATTCTATTTCGATAAATTTTCATGTTATCGTTTAGTTGGAATGTTCTTGGACGGATCGTTTTTGAAAACGCATATTGTCAAAACAAAAATGATCTTTTTTCGCAAACTAAATAAACAATTGCTTTTCCAAATTCTGTACATTAGGATTAGATTCTCTATGCATTTTGTTGCAGGTTTTATATATAACTAAGAGAAGAATTTGAAAAAACATGCTGCGGTACGATTACATATACGCAGTTGATGTCTGCCTTAGTTTGATGACGACGACAATTATGATTCAGCTTACCATCTGCCAAATAGCGATCTTTATCAAGAAACGAATATATAAAACGAATATCCAAAGCATAAAAGATATTATCAAGCCTGGAAATTTATCATTTTGTATCAATAGTCTTCTCATTCTCGTTGGGATATTTGGTATTTCCATGAATATGTGCTTAACAGTGTGGAATATGTATTGTTTGCTCGATGCAGAAGGGAACATGTATAGATGTTATGAAATAGTCGATGCGAATTTACGTGACGCCGTAATGGTTCTCCATACATGTTTCTTGAATATTATTTACATAGCATTATGGTTCCGCCAAGCAATGTTCATTACAGAGCCGACTTTGAAACGACTTTCGTCCAAATGTTTTAAAGTGTTTAGTTACTGTCAGGGTTGTTTTATATTAATATACGGCTTTGCCGCTATAATGTTTTGGTTTTGCGTAAGCTTGACATACATAGAGAAGAATTGGAAATTTCTTTCACATGTACTATTATTCACCCAGCTAGAAAATCAAATTGCCATGCTGGTTCTTTTCCTAATTCCTTTAATCAGGCACCAACGTAGCGTGAAATATCTACATCAGAATCAAAGACCACCTGATCATTTTATAAAATTATTGAAAAGATCTGCCATAGCTACATTTGTTGCCGTTTTAACAGACATAGCAGCAATACTCGTCTTTTCTGAGATTGAAGTATATTTTTTATCCATCAATTCTCTTATAAATATGTTTTGTCTTATATTTTGCTTTGTGGACTGGAGAGAAAAAATTTTTGCTTGTTTGCTTTGCTGTAAAATTGAAAACCCAACATCTAGACACGTTTTTCCGAACGACGATAGACGTAATGAAGCAATACAAACCATTATGTAGGTTGTCCATGTCATCATACATTGGCCATTTTTACTTTCAGTTCCTAAAGCTTTTGTAACCTTTTTGAATATGGTATGAATAGGTATTATCATTAAAATTCACTTCCTGGTTTATCCTCCCGTAGTGCATAGACGATAACTAGTAAATATAGCCGTAATGCCAATTTTCAAAACTGAATAAAAATCCAGCGAATATTTTTTAGTATTTTTGTTTCCAATTTATATATATATCTATACTAGGTTTATTTTATCGATTGTTGCTCAGATGTTTTGATATTAATGAACATTGAGGTTTATTGCCATGCTAATGTTTTTATTTCAAAATATACTTCCTTATCAAGTCTTCTTGAAGTCTCCAGTATAATTAATGCACGTGACATTACGGAATCATGAGGAGTGTTTCTCCATACACCCAGTCTGGGGCGATGGGGTCCGAGTAAAATGAGTCGCCGATTATATGCAAATTAGTATTTACACATCATGTTAAGCAGGATTTTTTATGTTAAGGTTTAGTGAAATGAGAGATTGCTATAAGGCAGCATTTAAAAAAAAATTAACACGTTTTTGTGCTCTTGCGTTGTTTACAACTATCAACTATTAGAATTAAAAATATTGAAATCAAAAGCTTCCGTCTCATACACCTTTCAGCGGCTTCACTCAGGGTTTATTAGAAAAGGTTTCAATAATGGTGGTTTCACAGAAATAAAGTTGACTTCGATAATTTACCGCTTTGTCCCTAAATTCCATGTTTCGTTGTCCCATCCAAAGATGGGAAAAGGGCAAAATACGCTCCTATGAGAAGCCATCAAGCATTTTTTTCTATCAACGCGGTAAAAAAGTGCCTGTCCAGTGTGATCATAGCGATTTTTTCTTTCATAACCATACTTGTAAAAAATCGTAGAAAATATTTTCATCAAAATTTATTTGAAAACGCCATTTTGAATACGCCGATAATTTATTGCATTCTCTAAACAGCATGGAAATTCATCGAATTCAATCCAAAGTAAGATTAGCTGATTCCTGTTTGGCTGTTTTGTGCAATTTTATATCAATATATATCAAATATGGCTGAAATATTTCTCTCATTATACGTAAATGAAAAATAATATTGTACCAACTGTTTTGGAGCAGATAAAATAGACAGCTCGATTTTAGATATATATCGATTTTTTTTTAAATCACAAATTTGCTATTCGTCTCCATTACTAAAGAAATTATTCTCTTCCGTAGTGGGCTGTCATATATAGACAGTGAGTACGCATATATAAAAAAGACTTATATATATATGCACTGGGATCAAATTCGAATTATTACATTTCTCGGTATGAAAACTTCTGTTACAACAGAAACAGTCTTGCTAACTAAACCGAGTCCCTGGTTACCACCACGCGTTTTCAGTTTAGCTGTCGATGGTCAAAACGTGCCGGTGGTGCTTGTAAATTGTACCTCCATTCCATCGGCGATAAGTCGTTGCAATCAAGTCATTTTTATAAGTTTGCAACATGCCATCAATTTTGAAAATTATGATAAAGGGGGATAAGCTACATATGATTTCACTTTTCGCATGTGGTTTCGTACAGTTTATCGGATTCCGTAACATTATCGATTTCATAGCCTTAGCCATCACCAGTGGTCCACGCTAACGTGAAACCCAACGTCGGGAAACGTTGACGTCCGTTCTCACCCTGATTGGTGTTTTTCAAGTATCCAACCCTAATAATTGGTCCAGCAATAGAGATGATTACACTTAGTAAAAAGCTGCATGCAACTTATTGCACTCATCTGGAAGCAAGCCCAGTAAGTTGACACGTATGGGTTATCTAAGCTTTGTAGCCAATGGAAATGAAGCCAAGGGAATTTTATAAATGTAGCTATGGTATTGGCGTACTTTTAACGAGGCTGTATATGATTCGATATTGTTTAGTCCAGTATATTCCTAGTATCGCAGCAATATCAACAATATCTGCCTCGAAAGCCAATGGCGAATTTCGATTTGTTCATAGATTGATTCACTATAAAGATGACTATTGTGTTTTTTTATCGGCAGAAAGCTTCGATTTAGGAAATGTACGCAAGACGTTTATCGTCGGTCAGGTACAGTTTGTACGTACGTCTTGGATTCAGTTTGCGAGCTTGGGTGTTATTCGTATTTCAATACGTAGGTATTGTGAAATGGGTTATGTTTACGCAATGTGCTGCCGTTGTATGCCGTTGTTGATCAAATCGCTCAAAGTGAGGTACTATTTGGCACCTTTCTTCTTTCAATAGAAATAGCAGCTGACGTTCTGCAATTTTACTTCACTGCTTCGCTTGTCTAGGTCGCTGACAATTATGAGGTGACAATGATGAAGGACGACTAGGATTTATTAGAGTGAGGCTTGGATTTTCGTATCATTTGTTGTATACGCCAGCTCGCCGTGTTCATGGAATATCGTAATGAAACTTTAAACTGGTTTCATTTAAATTAGTAAATAGATAGGACGAAATGGAATATTCTAGAAAGCGTTATGTAGCCGAGTTGGGTTCTCATGTACATCGCTAAGTTCAGTCTGTGACCCTAACACGGTGCTTAACGAGTGAGTTTCGTACACTCTTAGAGGGTTAATCTGCGTTGTATAGCTGTTAAGGTTTTACGAGACTGTTGAGGAGTTGTAATTTTATTCGATTGTTCATTTTTTACGCATATTAATTCTTTAATTTTCATTTTTCATAACTTAATCATTTAGCACACAAAAAAGCCTTTTATATTCTCTTCAGGTGAGTACAGATTTTCAAGAATTTTGTTATGTGGTCGTAACTAGGAGGTTTTAGTGACAAAAATTTTCAAACGACCTCATTCGGCGAAAAATTACCGAAAAATTATTTAATCTCGTTTAGGAAACTCATACTCGAACTCGTTGAACATGTTATATTTGCAATCATTTGAATATTTGTTCATGCATATATATATACGATTCAAAATAAGATTTACGCTAATTTTAATAGGAATTGCTCTTGGAACGATGCCGTTTAGGATTGATTAAAATTTCGTGATCCTAGAATATTTCGGTCATACGGTCTTGAAGCATTGTCGATTTGACGATACCTTGTGACATTGCAAAACCTAATATGAAGCCCAACAACATTTAAACGGCATAAATAGAATATCTCGTGCAGAACTTGCATTAAAAAGATTGAATAAATAAATATATTGTTGCAGCCTTTATTGCGGAAATGGAGGCCACAGCTTTCTTCTCGGGAATAATTAAATACAATCGATCATTAAATAGCAGAGAATGTCTTTACTGACAGCAAAAGTATTTGGGAATAACGATATTTTTGCATCCATTTTACATACGCGTCCACGGCACATAACGCTGTATTTGGAATTCACTTAGGTGGTCATTTATGGTAGATTTAAGAAAATGCATCTAGAGCGCCGTGTTTGAGTGGGCTTTTAGTTCTTCCCGCGTGATTTCAGGATATTAAAACTATTTTATTTTTTCAAAGTTACTGTTCGATTAAACGAAATCAGATCAAGCAAAGATCAAGATAACGTTGCCAAGAACATTGAAGAATTTTTAGTTATTCTGGTACGTGTATTATATAATTATCACAATTCTGTGTATTCTTGTTATGTATAACTATTAAATAATCCATGGTTACGTGGCGTTAATCATCTATAAAGTTCGTCTAATCAAATTGCTGGTTCTCTAGAATTCACGGTACAATACTACCAACGCCGTATTTATTGTATTTTCAGTTTTAAAAAAGTTTTCAGAAAGTTTTAAGAAAGTTTTAGAAGAAGCTCAGAGGAAATGGATCCAGCTTCATCTACCGAAGTTAAAGGTTAATTTTATTTCAACAACTAAGTCAGCTTTTACTAAATTGTATAGTTGACGTAGTCATTTGTCTAATTGTATGTTAATATGATCAAACAGGAGTTGCCCCAGAATTCGTAGAGAAGCCCCGAGGAAGAAGCGCCAAACTCGGAGGAACAATCAAATTTAGCAGTCGTATCACCGGAAGTCCGAAACCGCAGGTTATCTGGCTGAAACAGGTTTGCAAAACACTAAAATTATTTATCTGGAAGTAAGGCAATTCTGAGACCCAACGCTGATGTTTTTGCATCAGCTTGGCAATAACATTCGTGGTTTATGATTAATTATTTCCAATTTCTGATTAGGGTAAACCAATGAAAGAAGATGGGCGTATTACTATATACCAGGATCAGGAGAAAGACGAGTACGTCCTTACAGTGTCCCGTGTCCGTGAGGGCGATTACGGAGAATACGTTTGCTTTGCAGACAATGAAAACGGAGAGACGAAGTGCCGCGTCTGTTTGTCAAAATGTAAGTTGTTAACGAACTAGTTGCATCTCGTGTTTCAAAATTACGGTACATGCCGATCGAAACGCCGCCGAGATGGCATTGTTCATTTTCATTATTTGAAGGTTTGTATATTGTGCCTACCTTTAAGTACGAGCACTTTACGTAAGTTTGTGAGTTCGAACCCCACGGAAGATGGGAGCAAGAATATGGGCAAACTCTTGCAACCGCATGATGTTCATCATGTATTCCTGTACATATACAGTATAAACTCTACGTACGAAAGGCCTTATATACAAAAAATCCAACTTACGAAAATTCTTATGGTAAAAATATTGCCTGGACCAATGTAAAATTTTCTAAATTCAAAAGGCCGAAAACTGGAAATATAAATAACCGTGTAGCGATATTTGTTTCTTTTAAGTTAATTTGATGCAGTGCTTGAGGTCGTGACTTTTCATACCATTATTGTTTTCAATGATTCCCCAAAAGTAGAAGAGTTCATATAACTGTATCCTAAATGTTATTTGCTTCTAATTTCTCTTCACACTTTTCATAGACGACCGACGTGGATCTTCCAGTGAATCCGAAGATGCCTGCGATGACATGGAAGTAGATCCGAATGCTACATTGCCTGTTTTTGTCCGAAAACCCAAAGATCAGGCAAAAATTACTGGTATGTAGTCGAATCTTAAAAATATCTAGTAAATGACTTTTGGAACATCAGTTATCTGGTGTTCAGATAATTTCAGTGCTGTCTATATCATGAACAAATAGTATTGTTGTTTTATAAGGAAATCTACAAATATGTGTATTATCTTATGGGAATCTCTTCTTAGGTGACACTGCAGTGTTTACTGCAAAAGTTTTCGGAAACCCAGAACCAACTGTTCATTGGACGAAAGGAAAGTGGATGAAGATTAACGGATATGGACGTTTTAAAATGTCTCACAACAAGGAAGCCCATACTTATACATTGAAAGTTACAAACCTAGATGTCCCAGACACTGGTTTATACAGGTATATTTTTAGAAGGAAGAAGATTAGAAATTGCGTTTTTTTACCAGTTTTTTTACTTGAGACTGTGTGCGAGGCAAGTAAACTTGGTTAAAATCTATCGTCTCCTGCATGAAATCTGTGCTGATTTTACTCTTTCACCAAATATGATGAAATTGCATAAAATATAACATTATCTTCTTACAGATGTGTAGCCTCAAACAAACATGGGGAAGTTGATTCATCTTTCCAAGTCACAGTTACAGAACATGTAGTTAAGGAGAAATTTGAACCGGAACAACTTAGAAAGTATGTTTTATTTTTTCAGCATACCATTTGGTTTGCATTCAATGTGAAAATAATAAATATATATGGTTTTTCAGAGTATCAGCGAATGACAAACCAGGTGTGAAATTTGAAGATATTGCAGAAATCATGGAATTGTTAAGAGAGGTTGATCCGAAAGAATACGAAAAATATGCTAGATATTACAATCTTAAGGACTTGAAACCTACTTTGTCAAGATATCAGGAAAGCCAAGAAGTAAGCCAATATCATAATGACTTTTTTGACAAATTGATATGTGAATTTATTATGTTAAGACTTAATAAATATGATCTATTTAAATTTAATACGTGCAATCTTAGTTAATTTAATCTATGTGAATTTATTATGTGCACATTTAATAAATATATTCTTATGTGAATTTATTATGTGTACACTTAAATAGCCTATGTGAATTTATTATGTGCACACATATAACTTATTAAGTGTGCCCATAATAAATTCACATAAGTTATATGTGTGCACATGATTATACCATTACCAATGATGAATTTTCAGATCGAAGATGAAGAATTGTTAGCTGCCGTTTGTCAAGATGCTTCAGATGCCGGTGATTTGCTTAGTTTTATGCAGAGAAACTTGTCTGTTACTGAACCCGTCAAAGAGATTAGAGGTCTTGAAAGTATCAATGCTTTACAAGGCACTGATATTGAGTTTTTAGCCGAACTAAAGATGTTTGTACCAGAAATCGAAGTGAATTGGTAAGTAGTATAATTTGAAGAATCTATAATCAAGTCAATAAGCCCTTTTTTCAAAAAAAATTAAAGCTTATTATGTTACTTTTTCAGGTACAAAGGAAATCGCAAGGTCACACCCAGTGAAAGATTCGAAATAATTCAAGATGGAGACATCTATCGACTGAAGATTTCGAATGTGGATCTCAGCGATGCATCTCGCTATAGGATTGTTGCTGGACCTTATTCATCTACAGCACGACTACGTGTTGCAGGTATGTGAATGTTGTTACAAGTTGCATAGTATGGATTATTAAAATAATTTATAATTTCATGTGAGTCTTTAAATAAATTTTATCATGAATAACATTTTCATAATCATTCAATTCTCAAATTTAGATGATTTGGACAAATTGCAAGAACTAAATTATGAAAAAGTTGCTCAGTTGGATATTGAAAACACAGAAGCATTTTCTGCATGTTTGGAAACCTATACCTGTACTGAAATGGAGACTGTAATCTTTGAATGTGAAGTTAAAGATGTCAACGCTAGAGTCACGTGGTACAAGGATGGAGAACCAATTGATTTAAAGAATGCAACTGACAAGTATGTGATTATCGAAATTACCTAATACTTTTTAAAATTGGAATCAGTAATTTGCATTGAAATCGAATAATTGTATATTTTTATCACAGATACAAGTTGATTGAAGACGGAAGAAAACGATCCCTGATTGTCAAAAGAACAAACAGTGAAGATTCTTCAGAGTATACTTGTATATCCGGTCAAAGTTCCACAACAGGATTATTGATTGTCCAAGGTTGTGTCTGTTGTAATAAAAAAAAATATTCTTGATTCCTCATTTAAATCAAGGAAATTATGGCATCGATATATTAGGTTCAAGTACTTGTTATTGTTTCATAATTACCGTACAATTTTATATGTATTATTTTATTATCTATTCAGATGGAATCCAAGATAAGTCGGTGAATGTTGGTGGTGCTGCTTCATTTGAAGTGGTAACTCAACGTGATTCAACCACGCTCATCTGGTATCTTGATGGAAAAAAATTGGAAAATGGAGAAAATGTCCAAATAAGCCAGCAAGGGTGATTTATTTTTTATCAATTTAAACTTGACAGTATTATTTTGTCTAAATTGTCTTAAATATATAATCCATCTTTCTTTCCTCAGAAATGTACACACTCTCAAACTTCACAACCTGCGAGTTTCTCAGGCTGGTGTGATAAAGTATGAAGTCATTGATTCTTCAGTGGCAGATTTGATCAGATCAGAGTCTGATGATAAGTCTTGCAAAGACAAAGTTATTGGAACTGGTGAAGCAAAACTGACGGTTGCTAAGGATACAAAAGTGCCAAAAAGTTCAAAATTTGATTATGAAGTTGAAAGGGAAGACATTCAAGTCAAATGGCTCAAGTATGCATTTCATTTGTACAATAAAAAAGAAAATTCTGCATTGTTCCATGAGCCATTCTTCTGTTGCAAAGACCAGTGATAATTAATTCAAATTCTATTTCTCATCTTCATTTATTATAGCCATCTTTAACTCTACTCATGGTTATTTGTGGTAACGATTGTCAAATGGTCAGTTTATAGTGATATATGTGTTGTGAATATGCGCATTACTTCTTGGGTTCACGAGTTTGATTGATGTGAGACGTTGACATGCTCAGTGTCACAGGCTCTAATCCTGTGGTTGAAGATGCTAAGTTTGCTGTCACAAATTATTCTTATGATATATAGCTATTCTGGTTTGTTACGATCTGTTCTAAAAACAAAACTAAAACGATTTCAAAATTCTCTTGAAACACAGGAATGACACTGTTGAAATTCGCGAAAGTGAAAAGTATAGATTGGAGTCGTATGGTTGTAAGCGTTCTCTGATTGTGAACTATATATCACCAGATGATCAATCGACATACAAATGTGAGCCAATTGATTCTGCAGGTAAGGAAGTTGAAAGTATCTATCTTGAAAGTCTAATGATGTGTTTGCATTCGAATAATAATAAAAAATTATGTACTTTCAGCAAAAGTGGAATCAAGTCTTCAAGAAGTACGCACTTGCGAAGGTGGAGAGGCCACTTTTCATTGCGTATTGTCCCATAACGATGTCAATATTACATGGTACAAACAAGGTGCAAAGTTGAAAAACAGCAATGTCATAAAAATTTCAAAAAATGGGCGTGAGCATACTTTGACTCTTACTGATGTTACGCTTGAAGATGCTGGCGCAATTTCAATTGAAACTGATTGTGGTTTGAAGGTCTGTGCTTGTTCTAATTTAGTGAACTTCATAAGTTTTAATACTTTAATGCGATTTATCAATGGACTCAATTTTCAGGATTCTACATCTCTAATTGTTGACTCATCTGAGATAGAAATTTTAGAAAAGCTGGAAGATGGAATATTTGATGAAGGCAGCACTGTTACTTTATCATGTGTTTTGAGTGTGCCAAATGTTCATGGTATGTTACGATTTTTCTGTATCTTGTTTAAGCAAAATATACGAACTTCTGCAACAATTTTCTTCATTCTTTATAGGTTCCTGGTATTGTAATGATCAAAAGCTAACCAGATCAGAGTCTATCAAAATTCGAACTGAAGGCACAAAACAATCGCTCATACTACATGATATCACTGTTGATGATGCCGGAACATATTATTTTGCTGCAATTGGCATGAAAACCACTGCAAATATTACTGTAAATGGTATGTTTAAACAAGTTATTTTTTGTTGTTGTCATATCGATCTGGTTCTTCATTATTCACAATCATTTCTTTTGTAGAATCAGGCATTCGTTTCACCAAAAAGCTTCAAGACACCAGTGTTACGGAACTGGATGTTGCTGAATTATCTTGTGAGCTCAGTAAGCAGTCTGGAAAAGTGACATGGTACAAAAACGGTGCTGAAATGAAGTCTTCAGAACATGCTGAAATCATTACTGAAGGAAAATGGCGTCGTTTAGTTATAACTAAAGCTACTGAACAGGATGCAGGTCTTTATTCATGCAAGTGTGAAAAAGTGGAAACCAGATGCAACCTGAGCATTGATGGTATGGTTTATTTCATCGATAATTGCGCTGTAATTTTGAGTATATACAAGTGTCGTTTTTACTTTCTTTTTCAGAACGTGGCATCAAAATTCGTCAGGAATTGCGTGAAATTGAAGTGCCAGAAGATGGGACTGCTTCTTTCGAATGCGAGGTCTCTCACAATGAAGTTAATGTTAATTGGTTTCTGAATGATACTCTTCTGAAAGTCTCCGAAAATGTCTTGTAAGTGGAATAAGTGCACTGAAATTATAAGTATACTACCTATTTAGTAAGATAGGTTGTGCTAACAGCATTCGATCTGTTTCAATGCTCCTTTATTACTGAAAGCATTCAGGATCATATTCTGATAACTTGTAATTGTTCTGCTATCTATACTACTCGTAATGCTGTCATTCTTAGAAGTTCAATATGATAATTCGCCCAAATTTTCTTGCAGAATTAAATCAATTGGACGCAAACATAGGCTTGTATTGAGCCATCTAACTGCTCAACAGTCGGGTCGAGTTGAGATAAAAGCAGGAAGTGCTTCATCTATTGCACGCCTAGAAGTTCTTGAGCCTCCTGTTGAGTTTGTATGCGGTCTAAAAGATGTGATCGTTGAAGAAACATCGGACGCAAAGTTGGAATGCGAGGTGAGATTAATAATTGATTTATTGCAACATTTGTTTTAATGTTAAAACTGATTTGTTGAATATTTTAAAGGTATCGAGAAAATCTGCTCAAGTACGTTGGTACAAAGGCCGTACTTTAATCCAGGCTTCAGAAAAGCATACTATCGTAGCAGAGGGTTGCAAACGTTCATTAATATTGCACAAATGCACATTTGAAGATGAGAAAAAATATATCTGTGATGCTGATGATGTGAGGACCTATGGAAAACTGACTGTTGCACGTATGTATAAACTCAAAAAATCAAGTACTTAGTATGATATACATGTTCAACCATCCCTTCGACTTTTGTTTATTTAGAAAACAAAGCGAATATCTTTTAATATGATTTAGATTTATTATCTTTTATGTTTTTGTTAAAAAAAGCCAAAATTGTATAATTTCTTCCTCAGCTCGAGAAATAAAATTCATCCAATCATTGAAAGAAACTAAAGTGATTGAACGAGATGAAGCTCGATTTGAAATAGTTCTTTCACACAAAGACGTCGAGGTTTCATGGTTCAAAAATGGTGCCAAAATGAGCAGGACCAAAAATGTTGATTTTGGGAGTGATGGAGATAAACACTGGATGGTTATTCATAGTGTCGATTTGGATGATGACACTGCTACTATTTCAGCTCACGCTGAGGAGGAGAAGTCTAGTGCTCTATTATCTGTTGAAGGTTAGTTTTGTTATATTAAAGACTGTGCTATTTCTATTACTTTAATTAATGAATGATAATTCTGTTCAGAATACACTGTTGAAATTGTCAAACCAATGGGTGATACTACAGTAATTGAAAAGAACACTGCTGAATTTGTTGTCGAAACAAATTATGACAACATACCTCACTTCTGGTATAAAGGTATTGCTATAAAATGATTTTCATGCACTGAAAAATCTATATGTAGAATTGTTTTTTCAATTTATTACTTCATTTTCATTAGATGATGTTAAGCTCAAAAGGGGAAATTTCATTGAAATTTTGGAAGAAGGCAGGCGACACACATTGAAGATGCATAACTGCCAATTATCAGACACCTCTGTCATCAGATTTTCTTCTAAAACTGCAGAGTCAACTTCCAGATTGACCGTAATAGGTATGTCGACATTGGTTTTAGTTAGAATAGTGAACAAAACTGAAATATTTTCACATATTTTTCAGAACCGCCAGTGCACTTTTCCAAGCCACTCAAAACTAAAACATGTGAAGAAATGGACAAAGTAGCATTGGAATGTGAAGTTAGTCGACCAAATGCAATTGTAACATGGTATAGAGAAAATGATAAACTTTCTGATGGAGAAAAGTAAGCTATAGCAGTTTAATGCTTTGCTAAACCAAATTCTGACACATCTCTAATGAACCTCATTATTTGTAGGTATAAGATTGAAAGTGAAGGTGTTCTGCGGCGTTTAGTGATTTTCAAGACCACTATGGCAGACAACACAGATTGGACATGTGATGGTGTTGATAGCAAGACGTCGACAAAACTTGTTGTGAAAGGTAATAAATGTTGTACTTGTTCATTTCATTGATCTTTTTTGCATTGTTGTGAAAGTATGCTTCATTCATAACAACTTAATTATTTTTTTAGAAATTGGAATTACTTTCACAAAACCACTGAAAGCTGTGTCATTTCAAGAAGGTGAAGATGCATGCTTGTCATGTGAAATTAATACATCTAAAGAGGTTGATGCTGAATGGATCCAATATGACAAAATTATCAACAGTCTGAAAAATATCAAATGACACATAATGGGAAGAAGTTACAACTTTTAGTCAAGAACTGTACGGTAAGCATTGGTAGAAAATGATTTACAAATTTGCATGAACAATAAAGCATTCGATTAAATAAAAATATAACATTGATTTCACAGGTCAGAGATGAAGGAAAATTGAATGTCACGTCCGAAAAGTTTCTTCTTCTGCTAAGTTGAGCATCAAACAGAAGCCAGCAAAGATTGTTCAACAAATTTCTGATATTATTGCAGAAGAGGGACAGCCTTCCGCTACGTTAACTTGCGGCATGAACAAGTATGTTTTATACGAATAACTTCGTTTTTAATCTCTCGCATCCTATAACATTGAAACGGGTACTACTAACAAGAAATGCTCTTTATTTAAGTTGTATCAAATCGCTTTACAATAGTGATTATGCCATCTTATCACTTAGGTGTAAGTGACAAGAAATCTTGCCTAGAAGTAAAGTTATTGTTACCTCTCCAAATAATTATTGTATTTATATATTATATTATCTACATTAAAGCTTGTTAAGCTATGTCAAAATATTTTTAAAAATAGGAATTCTGGGAGCGTAAAATGGTTCAAAGAAAACAAGGAATTGAATGAACAAAGTGGCAAGTATGAGTTTGTCATTTCTGGAAAATCTCGTTCACTTGTTGTGAAAGACATTACTAAAAGTGACAAAGGATCTTACACTTGTAAGTCTGGAAATGAAAAGTCTACAGGAAAAATCACAGTTAAAGGTAACTTTTTTTACACTAGATCACTGATTTCTTTTTAGGCTCTTACTTATGGATTTTTTTCTAATGTATATAGATGGCATCAAGTTTGTTCAGCCACTGAATGCCACTGAAGTATTTGAGAAAGATTCCGTTGCACTTGAATGTATTCTGTCAGAAGATGTGCCAGTTCAATGGCGACTTAATGGTCACACTTTTCCAATTGGCAAGGATGTCATAAGTTCTGCCTGAAGGAAACAAAAGAACTTTGACTATCCCGTTTGTAGCCATGAGTAATGCTGGTTTGTATTCTGTCACCGCTCGATTTGCAAAGACTGAAGCATCTATGACTGTTAAAGGTATTTATTGTATTCAGGTTTTTAATTCAAGATTTATTTTTAGTTTCATGTAACATCAATATGTGTGTGATTTTGCAGAAGCCACCAATTGCAATTCTACAACCTTTAAAAGATTATCAGTTCCCTTCATATGGGGACTGCTTTCCTCTCCCTGTGCTGTATCACCACGGGACCAGCAAGTGCTATGGTTTGTTGGTGAGAACAAAGTCGAGATGTCTTCAACTGGAAGATATGTCCATAACTGACGATTATAAAACAAGATCCTTAACAATCAAAGATTGTACTGAAGTAGACAGGTTAGTATTACGCACCAATGTAAATAAAATATGTAATTTCAGTTTAATTTTGTACGACTAACCATTGAAAAATATGCTTATTACAGAGCTATTGTTACCTGTCAAGTGGGTGATGTGGAAACCACAGCTAAACTCTGGGTTTGATTGCCACCAGCTTTCTATGCCACACCTCTACAAGATATAGTTTGCACAGAGTTTGACAACATTATTTTGGAATGTGAAGTTTCTAGCCTAATGTAGAGGTAATTGTCAATGTTTTAATTTTGTTTATGACTTCGTATTACTTCGTTTGTATGAGAGGTATTAGTCGATATTATTAACGTTCAATAATTCTCAGGTTGAATGGCTCGTAATGGTAAATTGTTTGAAGAGACCGACAAGATCATCATTGTTGCTGATGGTGTTATCGTCGTCTCTACTAAGATGACGTTCAACCTGATTCAAGCAACAAATACACAAATAAGTAATTTGGAGAAAAGACTGAAACATCGCATTTCTTACAGTGAAAGGTAAATGTTTGAATTATCTTTATTTGATCATTTTTTATGTTTGAATAATAATTTTTTTTTTTTTTTTTTTTTTTTTTTTATTTTCATTTTTTTTATTTAAATATTTACATTTTTTGTGGCACAGAATTTCCACCTGGGTTTACATCAGAAATTGAAGATATTTGGTGCTGTGCTGGTGATGAAATACAGTTTCAATGTAAAGTCAGCAAAGCAATATATCCAGTCTCATGGTTACTCAATGGAGTTGAAATCACCAGTGATAAACGATTCCATATTACATCTAACGATAAAGATCGTATTTTGAAAATTATGCCAGCTGAGTTGGTAGACAATGGAAAGATGAAGTAGTTTGTGGCTGATCATCGAACCTGTGCTTTGCTGGAAGTTGTTCCAGTTGCTATTGATGTTGGTCCAAAAGATGCAAATGTTCGTGAGAATCAATCTGCCATTTTCAAATGCACCTCCAACAAAGCTGGAGCTAAGGTGCGTATGTATATATATATTTCACATTGTATAGGTTGCTTGAATAACCTTTTATTAAAAATATATAACTTTCAGATCACATGGACAAAGAATGGCGAGGAACTCAGTGCAAGCGATTTCGTTGTTATGATAATGAAGGCAAGAAGTATTCACTTGAGCTGAAACATTGCACTCTAATAGATGACTATTTCTGTCATAGGTGCAACAGGTAATTCACACGAAAAAATTAAGGCAAAAGCGTTTGAACACAGTTGCATAATTAATTTAATTGTTTTAGATTATGGACAGCAAATATCAAGCAGAAGTTGCTCGTGTCAGAAGCTCTACCTATATTTACGGAGCGCCTCCGTGATAGTACTGATGCTGAAGAGTAAGCCGTGTTTGTGCTTACTGTTGAAATCTCAACCCTAGGCGGTGATGTACAATGGCTGGCTGATGGAAAGCGATTGTTGTTTGGCAGAGGCAGTGAAAGAATTCAGACAATTGCATCTGGAAAACTCCGCAGTCTTGTTATTGACGATGTGAGAATTGGTTATGATGAGGTATGAACGAATACTTGGCAGATGAATTACGGTATACAGATTAGGAAATGAATAATGAAAATTTTTTTTAAACTATTTGATATTTCTGATTCACAGAAAATCTATACCTGTCGTCTTGGTGATGAGTGAATGCTCAACAAACTTTAGAATAACAAGTGCTCCACTAAGGTTTGTAAAGAACTATATGACTGCAGTTTCCAGCCTGGATCAAAAGTTTTTCTTACTTTGCGAACTCAACAAGCCTTCAAATGATATCTTATGGAGTTTCGATGGAGACCGCATCAAAGAAGACCGTAGAAAAACCATAAGGATTTCTGATGGGGTAAAATTTTAAAAACTTAACTATATAACTATGTCAGAAAAAAAATTCTGCTATCTGTACACAAGTTGGTTGGGTGAATGTCTCATTCGAAAGGCTGTGTATGAATTAAACACATTACATTATGAGTTTAAAACATATTACAATTTATTTCTTTTTTTATTAGGGCAAAAAGCACATTCTGGAAATCCTCGACTTCAACACTGAAGATAGAGGGAAGTATGTTGTAAAATCTCGAACACAAAATGCTTATACAAAAGCAATAATTGATTTGGCAATTGCACCATCACTTTTCGTACCTGATGACAATGTGACCGCCCATACTGGTGGAGGCATCATCATCCCTGTCCAATGCAAAGGAATACCAAGACCGAAATACCAATTGTATAAGGTTTGTGGGAATGCTGAATGAGGTGATTACATTAATAAACTTTTCCATACTCTGTTTCAACTTTGATTTTATAGGAGGTTGGAGACCAACTACTGCCAATGGATGATGAATATTTGGAAATAGAGCATGAACAACTTAAAGTTATGTTTTGTAAGCCAATGCGTTCAGATTCTGGAAAATATCAAATTGCTGCAACCAATAAGCATGGAAAATCACATGCTAAATTTGACTTGTTAGTGATTGGTAAGAAATACTTCTTATTTTGCCGTTCAAATCTAAATTTTGTAGAAATAGTCCTTTTTTACTACTGAATCACTTTTCAGGTAAGCCATCATCTCCGATCCATCTCACTGTCACTGAAGTGACTTCATCAAGCGTATCACTGATATGGTCAGAACCTGAAGAAGATGGCGGAAGCCCTATCACCAAGTTTTTAGTAGAAAAAAGAGATATCAAAAGGAAAATGTGGCAAAGTGTATCTGATGATGTTGAAGACACTGAAATAACTGTAAGTTTTCTGACTTTGTGAAACCTCAATAAGATGACAATTTAATCAAACGAGTGATTATATTTTAATTTTTAGGTCAATAAGTTGATTGAAGGTAGCAGCTACCTTTTTCGCGTTTCATGTGAGAATAGGGTTGGGTTATCTCAACCCGTACAACTGGTAATCCTATTCTGGTGAAACCACAATATGGTGAGTATAACTTAGTGAAATACATCAATTGCATTTTCATTGTTGATGTGCCACTGATTTAAAACTATTTACAGGTCCACCAGAAGAGCCTAAATTTCTTAAAGCTATCGAAGTAAGATGTGGATCATGTTACTCTAAACTGGATCAAACCGGAATTGATGGTGGTGAAGAAATCCTAGGTTACATTGTTGAAATGAGAGGAAAAATGGATTCAATGTAAGTTTAGTGAAACAGTGATACAACTATAAAACAATCTTAATTTAAAAATGTTAATTTTATGTTTCTAGTTGGACTCAATGCGTAAGAACTGAAGCTGGCGAAAATGAAGTTAGAGTATGTCAACCGGATGTTGTCGAAGGCCGCCAATACTATTTCCGGGTATTAGCTTTCAATAAAGCTGGAAACGGAAAACATAGTGAACCTACGACATTAATTCTCGTTGAAGATGCAATCGGCAAGTTATTTCTCATTATAAATTTTTGAATTCGAATTGCTGACTGTTTTTCTGATTTCTTTTAATATAGAATACAGATATCGTATTTGTTGTTGAATTCCAGATTCGAGATTGAAATTACTTTTTACAGATGTACCTTCTGCTCCAATAAAGTTGTGTGTGAGAATCCGACAAAATCCAGTATCGATATTTCATGGTCTTGCCCTGTTAGCGATGGTGGTTCTGCAGTTACTGGCTATATGGTTGAAGAGTGTGAGGTATCTGCTCTATAAAGCTCTATGGAGAACTGTAGCTCGTATTACGGGACCTACGATAACAAACATGCCATTGTAGACTTGACAAGAAGGCCAGACTTACTCATTTCGTGTTAAAGCTCAAAACAAGAGCAGGAATTGGAAAATCCAGTGATGAAACTCCACCCGTGACAGCACAAGACTTATCAGGTTTATGAATATACTTATGTCTCTTTATCATGGCTATACATCGAACAATTGGATTAACTCTTTTATGCATTTTTATAGTTGCGCCAAGTTGCAGCCTAGATGAGACAAAGCGTCATATCACTGTCGTTGAGCAAGAAACTATTCACATTCGTGTGCCAATATTTGGAGCTCCTGTTCCAACTGTTGCGTGGATTAGATCTAGAGATGAAAAAGTTCTCAAAAGAGATGATAGAACGGAATTGGAATCTGGATCTACATATGCTTTGTTAAGAATCAAATCAAGCGCAAGAACAGTCGATGCTGGTGACTATAAACTTGTACTTCAGAATCCAGAAGGTGAAGCTGTATGCCACTTAACAGTGTCTGTATATGGTAAGTTGTATTTAATAAATCTCGACTTTTTTGTTTCTTTTTCATGGATGCTGAATATTTCATGTATTTTCAGGCAAGCCCAGTCAAGTGTTCAATGTGAGAACCAGTGAAGTAACTGCTTCTTCCTCTTACCTATCGTGGGAGGCGCCTTCTGATAATGGCGGTTCACCTATCACTGCTTATATTGTTGAAAAGCGAGAAAACGATAGAAAAGCATGGACTAAAGTAAGTTGATGTTTCGGCACTTTCTATTAACATTATTGTTTCACAAATAATAATTGTTTTGTGCTTTGTTAATAAGGTCACAGAATCAGTTGTTGAAGAATGCAGTGTAACTGATCTCCGAAAAGGCAAAACTTACGTTTTTCGTGTTTGTGCTACTACTGCTTATGGTAAAGGACCTTATTCTGAATTGTCTCAACCTATTACTGCTGAGGATGCTATTGAACCACCGAATGCTCCAACAAATCTTGTTTGTTCGAATGTTAAAATGGATTCCGTCACTTTGTCTTGGACATCACCGGAATCTGATGGAGGGGCAAAGATCATCCGTGAGTGTTTTTTTTCAACTGATTTTATAAAATTAAAACAGTAATATTATACACACCCACTAATGTTTTTATAGATTACATCATCGAGGTAAGAAGTGAAGATGATGATGAATATGAGTTCGATCATTCTACTGATGGACCTAAAACAAAAACTGTTGTCAAAGATTTGGAGACTGATATGAACTGGCAGTTTAGGGTTAGTGCTGTTAACAAAGAAGGATCTGGTGAGGCTTCAGAACCAACTGAATACATCCTTGTGCAGGACGAAAAAGGTGAACACGCTAACTTTAATATTTCAATTGTTGTAGTATTATCTTGATCATTTCACCACAATTTTTAACTTGTATTTACAGCTTTACCTACTGTTGTTCTCGAGTATGGGGCTGGAGAGGAATAACTGTAAGAGCTGGTGAACCTGTTGACATTGTTGCAAAGGTGACTGGACGGCCGGCCCCAGTCATCAGATGGACATGTAACAATGTACCAGTCATTCCTGACCAGCAACTAGTTGTTGACCCAACTGAAACTGGTTCAATACTTAGAATTCTAAAGGTTAGTTAGCTTTTAGCGTTTTTTTTGCTGTAGTTCTAACAGTGTTTAACCATGTAACATTTTTAGACCACTCGTGATGACAGAGGTGATTATTCAGTCATAGCACAAAATGAACATGGAAAAGTCTCCACTCAATGTAAAGTGGAAGTTCTTGATAAACCTGGTCCACCATTGAGCATAGGTAACATACTATAAGATTTTTCGTCATTTTTGTATAATCAGATGCATAAAAAAATAAACTTGTTTACAGATGTGGAAGACGTAACTGCAAAAACCTGTAGCTTTAGTTGGATTGCTCCGGAAGATGATGGCGGTGCAGACATCAATGGCTATGTAATGCTGCGTAGAGAACTTGGACGTAAAAAATGGACTAAAATTAATTCTGATGTTAAGTCTGACGTCTTCAAATACGAGGCAACTGAACTTTTCGATGGCCGTGAATATGAGTTTGGAGTAAGTATTGAGCGTTAAAACCACCTTGCAATTAACTTTTGGGGTATATATGAACTGGGCTCAGATTCTTGATAGTTTACAGCCATGTTTCTGTACATTCATAATTCTATTTGGGTTTAAATCTTTTTATACTTGAAATTCAGGTTTCTGCTGTAAACAAATATGGCATTGGTGAGCCTGCTTCTACCACCGGTGTAGTAGCAAAAGATCCGTTTAGTGCACCATGCCCTCCAGATGCGACTGACGTTTGTGACGTCACCGAAAACTCTATGACTGTTATGTGGCATGAACCTCGTTCAGATGGTGGAAAGGTTGTAAGTGGTTATTATGTTGAAATGAGAGCAGGATCTGACGGTAGCTGGATAAGATTGAATAATGAAGCACTGGATGCTGAAACATTTTCATATCATGTTGATGGTCTTCAGAAAGACGAGGAATATTATTTCAGGTAATTATTCTCAGCATTCACGTTCCCATTTTTGGTATAGGGAAAAGGTTGGTTTATGTAACAATGTATATTCTTCATTTATTCTTGCATGCAGAGTCCTTGCAGAAAACATTGCTGGAATTAGTAAAGCAAGTGAACCAAGTGAGCCGGTGATGGCCATCAGTCCTATTGAGCCACCGAGCCGACCTGGAAAACCATCTCTTCTTGAGGTAAGTTTTTATCCCAATAAGAGTTAATAAATGCTTAATAGAATTTGATTTTTAATTGTATTTTTTGTATTTTTAGATAAACAAAACTAGCTGTAAACTATTCTGGAGTGAACCCGAATTGGATGGTGGATGCCCTGTTTCACATTATGTCATTTTGTTGAAAAAACGTGATGTTGGTGCCAATGAATGGAAAGAAGATTTTATTACTTGGGAAGCTAATGTTAAGACTAATGAACATGAAGTTGTTGATCTAATACAAAGAAATATGAATACAGCTTCAAGTAAGAAGTGTTGTGATCTTCTATTCTCTTGAACTACTTCCTCTGCAGCATTTGCTCTAACGATAATATTTCAAATTTCAGGGTTTATGCTGTCAACAAAGCTGGTCAATCTATCACAAGTGAAGAATCTGATACTGTGACTTGCAAGCCTAAAGTAACTGCACCAGATTCCCCAAGAGAACTTAAAAGTGCCGGAACTACCAAAACCTCAGTCACACTTCAGTGGATGATGCCTGATCATGATGGCGGCAGTGGCATAACGGGATATGTTTTGCAAAAAAGAGAACAGCGAAGACAAAATTGGCAAGATGTTGTATCTATTGAATCTACTGAATACACCGAAGATAATCTGAAGGAGGGCTCTTCTTTCGAGTACAGAGTAGCTGCTGTAAACGCAATTGGGCAAAGTGAATGGAATCAGTGCAAAGCTGTGACAGCTGCTTGCTTGTACAGTAAGTATATTTTTCAATACACAATGTTTTTTTATTTCTTGTAACAGTAAATTAATTCTTTTTTTATGTAATTGTAGGTGTTCCAGGAAAACCCAGATCACTTAGAACGACCAGTGTATCTCGTTATGATGTTGATTTAGTTTGGCGTGAACCAGTCTTTGATGGTGGAGCTGATATAGCTTGTTACAGCATTGAAAAGAAAAATGTCTCAGGACAACAGCAATGGGTTGAGGTAGAGCGGACAAACGATGCAACATGTAAATACAAGGTAGTTTGAATGTTTCCATGTATATGTATAAATAAATATAATTCGAACATTGCTTCATAGATCTCAATTTTTTTTTCAGTGCGAAAAAATCGAGCCATTCGCTGAAGTTCAGTTCAGAATTATTGCCATAAATGAAGCGGGTTCTGGAGAACCAAGTGAACCAACACTGAAATTTATAGTCAGAGATCCTATATGTGAGTACACATCAGTTTTTAATTACAGAAAGTATAAATTAGTTATTAGAAAAATTGACAACAATTTTCCTTTTTACTTCAGTACCACCTGGCCAACCTACTAATGTTACAATGGTGACAACAAGCATATCATCTGTTACTCTTAAATGGTGTATACCATCTCTCAATGGTGGAGATGATATCTTGGGATACTATGTCGAACGTTGTCTGACTGGAGGAGAAGAGTGGATTCGTTGCAATGTGGTGCCTTTCTCCAAACCGTTAGGGGAGGTAATTATAAAACAACTTGTGATTTTTGAATAATTAAGTGAATTTTTGAAACCTTTCATCAAATTAATAATTTTCAATTTTGTTACAGATAACTGGTCTTCGTCAAGGACGCTCATATAATTTTAGGGTCTGTGCTTACAATTCTGCTGGACTAGGCAAAGCAAGTGGGGCAACTGAAGAGATTTCAGTTGACCATCCTGATTGTGAGTATTAGTTTTATTTATTTTAAACTACTTGAAATGCATTCAAGATACCAATCATTGACTCAATGTTCTAGGTGCACCAACCTGCACAATTCTTGATGAGAATATCATTCTAATTGTTTGCTGGAGAGAAGTTGCGACTGAAGGTTCCATTTACAGGAAAACCAACACCCGCTATTTCTTGGCATCTTAATGACAAAGTTCTGGCATCTAATGCAATTGTAAGTTGGAATTTCATTCGGTAAATGAATTAATTTTACTGGGTATTTAAATAACGCAATTTTTTTCCAGACTTCCGTAACTGGTAATGTCTCATCTTTATTCATACCTATGGTAACAAAAAATGATGGTGGAAAATACTCAATTATTTCAAGAACAAAATAGAAACCATTATGAAGACTTGTAATGTGGTAGTGATCGGTAAGAATCTGTTAATAATATGTTATCTATAAGTTATTTATAATATTAAATTCTGGAAATTATGAATTTTTTGTACTAGATCGTCCAGGTGAACCAGAAGAACCTATCGTCAGTGATATATGTAATGAATCATGTGTGCTGTCATGGAAAGCCCCGACGGACGATGGTGGAAGTGCTATCATGTATTATTCTGTTGAAAAGTAAGCATATAATTGAAATTGAACCCATATTTTTTTTGTTCATTCATATTTGTTGTATAATATGATTGGAATTTATTCAGACGAGAAGTTGGACGTCGAACCTGGAAAATTGCAACACATAACACAGATAAAACTACTTGGAAAGTTGATGGCTTAATTCGTAACCAGACTTACAACTTGAGGGTTACTGCATATAAACAAAGTTGGTTGTGGATCTCCAGCGGTGCTGAAAGAGTCTGTCACAGCAATGAATCCTGTAGCTCCACCTTCTGCACCAATAGAATTGAGATACAGCGAACCAACATCCAAAACATTATCTCTTTCTTGGCGGAAACCACTTCATGATGGTGGAAGCATTATTACTGGATATTGTGTGGATTTCACTGAAAAAGACGGATCAGAATTGGATTAGAGACATTGATAACTATCCTAACACTGAATACACTGTGGAAAATCTGACGCCAGAACTAGAGTATGAATACAGAGTCTATGCAAAGAATAAAGCAGGTGTAGGTGAACCTGCACAACTTCCTCCAATAGCAGCTAAGGATCCTATAGGTTTGTATCATTTATACGATCTTAAGTTGATGATTTTATCAGATTCATTACCTACTATTTTTTCTTTATAGCTGCCCCAACCGTTCACTTTGCTTCTCATTTGAAGAAAGGTATAGAAGTTCGTGGAGGTGCAGAACTCACATTAACTGCAACATATTCTGGTGTTCCGAAGCCTTCAATAAGATGGGTGCAATATGACAAAGAAGAAACTGATGTTGTTTGCACACCAACAAGAATATTGAAAGTTAGTATCTTTGAATTGTTCAGTATATGATACCTTATTCAAATAATAACACCGACTTTGTTTGTTATTAGACAACTGACGACACAGTTGAACTTCATCTTGGACCATGCACAAGAGCTGATAAAGGGAAATACTTTATTTGTCTCGAAAATGAACAAGGTCGTGCCACTGCGTCTGTCGAAGTTTTTGTGACTGGTTAGTATTTTTCAGTGTTTCACGGAACAGCAAAGTTACTAATTACTGTCACTACTTACTGGTTTAATATTCATAACTTTTTGTCTTTTCAGATGTTCCAGATATTTGTTCTATTCCATGGACTTTTGAAGATTCCACCAAAGAGGCAGTGACCATTTACTGGAAGCCACCTGCTGACAATGGAGGCTTTGAAATACTCAATTATGTTGTGGAAGTCAGAGAATCAAACAAGAAGGTTCTTGATTACTCGATAAAAATAATTTGATATACTATATTTATATAACTAAATAATCTGATTATATCTTTCAGAATTGGTCTACACTGTCCGCGACAATAACATGTACAAGGTGGCGAGCACAAAAACTTGTGACAGGAACAGAATACATTTTTAGAGTAGCTGCAGAAAACAAGCTTGGAGTGGGACCATGGCTGGAATCTGAGCCTTATGTGGCAAAAATGGCATTTGGTAAATAAACTTGCTTACTGGTATACATGAAAGGCAAAGTGTGGCAAAATGAATATATATTACTCGAGAAAATTCCTTTGCAGATGAACCAGGTGCACCAGAAAAGCCAAATGTTGTAGATGTTACACGTAAAGCTATGTTGGTAAACTGGAATGAACCTAATGATGGAGGAAGCTCTATACTTGGGTATCATTTGGAAAGAAAAGATGTTGAAACTGGAAAGTGGACAAGAGTTGTTCGTGACCTGATAAGAACAAATGAATATCAAGTAAAAAAAAATTTTGAAATAAATTTTTTGAGATAAGTAGCAACTTTTCAATCATGTGATATTCATTACCTTCAGGTTATCACTGGCCTTTATGAGGATTCATCATACCGGTTCAGAGTCTGTGCAGAAAATGCAGCCGGTCTCGGAAACTTCAGCCCTGAAAGTGATGTTTTCACTTGTCAAGATCCAGCTAGTGTCCCTGCTCCTCCATGTCACCTAAAAGTAACTGATGTCACCAACAATTCTGTAACTCTCAAATGGGAATTACCAAGTTATTCTGGGGGTGATTCACGCATCTTCTATGAAGTAGAAAGGCAGCTTGAAGATGGGTCATGGCAACAGTGCTTTGAAAAGAAGATAAATGCATTAAGCTGTACTATTACCTCATTAGAAGAAGGCCAAGTATGTAATTTTAGAGTGAAAGCTGTCAACAGAGCTGGTGAAAGCAAACCTGCTGAAATAGAAGTTACTGTTAAAGAAAAAATTGGTAAGCCCAGTAAATAAAATATCATTATCACCATGATTTATCTTTTATTTATGTGTTGCATATTTGCTTTCCAGATCTCCCACACATTGATCTGGCTGCGGAGTTGCTGATGGTCTTACAGTTCATAGTGGTAAAATGATCGAAATTATGGCCAATGTTACTGGAAGACCTGCACCTGAAATATCGTGGCAAAAGGATTCTGAATCTCTACCATCTCATGTTGAAGTTGTAAAATCCGAAAAAGGCAAGTCAATGATTTGTATTTATTGAATTGCGGTAGATAAGAGAAGGAAACTGTTCAATGATAACATTTATCTTACAGGTTCATTATTGAGAATTCAAAAGTGCCAACGTTCAGATTGGGGCCAATATACAGTAACCGCTAAGAATGTCTGTGGAACCAAGACTACTACTTGTCTGGTGAATGTACTTGATATCCCAGGACCTGTCAAGGTAACTTTTTTACTAAATTTTAAAAATTTGTGAATATGAATTATTGTGCTTAAATCGATTTGTGTTTCTCAGGAATTCGAAACTGGAGCTATTACAAAATCATCTGTTGCATTGTCATGGAGAGTACCATCTGATGATGGAGGACTGCTTATTACAAGATACTTCATTGAAAAACGTGACACATCAATGAAAGCATGGCTAGCAGTCAAGGACACAGAGAAGGTATAAAATACTAATCGGTTATATTTAACTTAGTGACTCATCACTGTATATGGTTTTTATAGAAATATAGAGTAACCTTGCATAGATTGAACGAAGAAGGATTTTTCCAATAAGACCACTGATACTGACTTTATCTTTGCAGTTTGAAGTTGAAGCAAGCAATGTTGTTGTGGGCTGTACTTATGCTTTTCGAATATGTGCTGAAAATGATGTTGGAAAAGGACCTTGGGTCGAGTGTCCTCCAGTGCTTTGCGAAGATCCATTAGGTATGGTTTATTTGATAACCTTATAACTATTGAATATTAATTACATATTGTATAAAAAATATTCTGCTTGACAGATGTACCTAGTCATCCAGAGTACTTGAGAGTTGTAGAAAAAAAGAACACTTATCTTTTGGTAAAGTGGAATGCATCCAGGACGAATGGTGGTTCTGCCATAAAAGGCTACATGGTAGATAAACAACAGCTAGGTCACAAAGAATGGACTCCATGCAATAGGTAGGTAGAAATGTTTGAGTAATGGAGAGATTTTGTTGAATATGCCATGTTTTGGACTTGAAATACATAATTTTTTTAATTTTGTAGCCGGCTCATTGAGAAGACTGGATTCAAGGTCGAAGAGCTCCTTACTGGTATGAAGTATGTCATTAGAGTCAAGGCTGTAAATAACATTGGAGAAAGTAATCCTGCTTTCACGCTACCAACAGAAGCTCTTGAGCCAGCAGGTATGCGGTCTTTTGGAATTTATTCACTTTTTAAATTTTCATTTTCTGGTTTTTTGATTTTATTAGTGAAGGCAGAAATCAAGTAATCTGGTCACTGAATTGAAGCAGTAAGTTCAGTTTGAGCATAAGATTTCATAAAGTGCGCTTCAACTTTGCTAATTTTAGGCAACTCTATAACTCTGCCATTTTGTTTGCAACAGCTTCACCTGATGTCACATTAGATATTGGTGCAAATAAGACACTTCAAGTTCGTGCTGGTGATTGCATTCATCTTCCAGCAGTAGTTCATGGGGTACCAGAACCAGAAGTAAAATGGGTGAAAGACAAGAATACCATTCTTGAGAAAGAGAGCGACCACATGAAGATTGTGAGAAATGGTTAGTCATCTAAAAATGAAAATATTACAGTTGAAGTATATTAAAAAGGTTTTAACAGTTATTTATAAATTGTATTTCTTATTTTAGGCAAAGAGGCTACAATATTCATACCAAAATGTGCCAGACAAGATGATGGAATTTATCACATAACAGCAACCAACTATTTGGGAACCAAGACTGTCAGAAGCATTGTAACTGTATATGGTATAACACCTATGGAAATGATAGCCCTCAGTTTTTATATTAGTGAAATATATTATTATACTTTTGCTTTTTAGATGTACCGGCTGCTCCTCAAAATGTCAGGTTGACTAAGGTCACATCCGAAAACCTTGTTGTCCAGTGGGACCCACCAGTCGACAATGGTGGGGCGGAGTTGTTTAATTATGTTGTTGAAAAGCGTGAAGGAAAAAATAGAAACTGGATTCCACTTACCAATGCTGTGATAGAGACAAAATTCAGGTAAATCATCGTTAATATTACAAGGTCTTCCCAAATGCGAGCAATGGAATAACTGATTTCGTTCTCTATTTAGGGTCAAGAAACTAACTTTTGGAGTTGAGTACCATTTCAGAGTTGCTGCTGAAAACCGAATTGGTGTTGGTGCTTTTACTGAATCTCCATCTGCTGTAGCTAAAAATCCATATGGTAAGATTGTAATGAAATGTAATTATAGGTTTGAAAACTTGTAAAATACTTAGCTTCAACTGATTGTTTGAATTTAGAAACACCTGATAGTCCGGGTAAACCAATTGCATCAGAAATAACAAAATCTTCAATGCTAATTTCGTGGCAAACACCGAAGAAGGATGGTGGTGCCGTAATCGAAGGGTATTGGTTAGAAGTTAGAGACAACGATACAGCTAGATGGAGGAAAGTGACACGCTCACCTATAGTTGGAAATACAAAGAAATGCTCATATAAGGTTTGTAGAAGTTTAGATTCTATTTAATTAAATATAGCATGCTACCTACTTGTATATTTGTATATGGCTTTACATTTTTATTAGATCAACCAACTTGATGCTGGTATTGAGTATCGCTTCAGAGTAAGTGCAGTCAACAAGGCAGGTGTGGGACCTAAAAGTGAAGACTCTGACAGTTATATAGCACAGAATCCAATCTATCCACCTGGCCAACCCTTTGCCCCAAAGATCACTGATGTTTCTGCAACAAGCATGTCTCTGACCTGGTTCCCTCCAAAATTTGATGGTGGATCTGAAATTACTGGATATTATTTGGAAAGATGTGATGAGGTAAATCAGATTATTGATTATATTCATAAAACCACTTGTATGTGTTAATAGAGAATATATTTAACCAAATTTTCCTAATTAACAGGTTGAAATGGATTGGGTGAAGATCATACTGGGAGAGTCCTCAATGATCAATACAACCAAAGTCGTAGTCCCTAATCTTCAAACTGGTTACAGATATCAATTTAGAATTACAGCTTGTAATGTACTGGGTGCAGGTATTCCATCAATGCCTTCAAGGAACACACAAGCCAGAGACATTATCGGTAAATTTTGGATTTATTAGAGATTTTTAATCTGGAATTCTGAATTAATTCTAATAAATGCTACTTTTAAAATTCAGAACCTCCATCAATTTGTATGAATACTGGCCTGAGAAATATCCTGGAAGTGAGAGCTGGTACAACAATTAAACTTGTTGCCAATGTATCTGGATGTCCACAACCAAGTGTAAGTTTAAAAAATGTGCGATTTTCTCCTATTTTTTTCATTTTTGTAATATTATGATATGATTTTATAGGTTCAATGGAAAAAAGATGATAAAGAAAATATACCAGGAGATTGTTTGCAAGAACGCAATAAGGGTGGGGATTATTTTGTCCAAATTCATAACTGCAATCGCAACCATAGTGGAACATACACCATTGTTTGCCAAAACTCTGGTGGTTCCAGATTTACATCATGCAAAGTCCAAGTCATTGATACACCGGGGCAGCCAGAAAATATGGATATTTCACATGTGACAAGCAGATCAGCCACATTGCATTGGAAAGAACCTGGAAATAATGGTGGCTCAAGAATTCAAAAATACATTGTTGAAAAGCGCAGAGGAGATGCAACCACATGGACAAAAGTAAGTGTCGATTATAGAATTAGATGAAAGCAGCAAAGACGTTTAACATGCAAATTCAAAATTTTCAGGTTGAATCTGCTCTTTCTATCACAGAGTGTGTAGTTAGTGATTTACTGCATGGATATGAATATGAATTTCGTGTGTGTGCAGTCAATGCAACAGGCCAGGGACCTTACATTGTCAGTAGTAAACCCACACTTATTGCTGATCCGGTTACAACTCCGGATGCTCCAACTTTGCTGAAAGTTATATCGATCACTGCCACAACAGTTTCCCTCAAATGGGTCGAATCAAAATCTTATGGTAACCTACCTCTCAAAACATACTTGATACAACAACTTGGAAAGGGTACTGAAGGAGAGGAGATCTGGAACAGGTTTGAAAACTATTCAACATATTTAATACAACTGATATCATTAAAATATTAATTTCATCTATTTTTTTTGTTAGATGCAACAAAGAAGATGTTCTCAGCACTGAATACACAATTAAAGGTATCAGCAAGAACGAACAACCAGAGTTTCGTGTTTTGGCAGTCAATGACGTCGGTTCAAGTCCTCCGTCCAATAAAGTTGGACCTGTAGAATGCAAAGATGATATTGGTAGGATGAACTGAAATATTATATTATATTCATAGTCATAATTTTAATTTTTATATTATACTTATAAAATTATTTTCCAGTTTTTCCAGTAATTGAAGCTGTGGAATTTTATGAGTTTGAATTTGGTTGTGATGTTGAAATCTCTGCCAAATTTGTGGGATTTCCAAAACCAGTGATAACTTGGCAATATTTTGAACAAGAGATCAAAAAGTCGGAAAGGTATTTTATACATTAATTATAGTATTGTGGCTGTTAATAGTAATTAATATTTGATTATGAGTTTTTGATTATTCCTTCTAATCTGATGCAGAATTTCGCTAACAATTACATCATCAGAGACGCATCTCAGAAAAACCAAGGCTGTCAGGTCTGACACAGGATTATACATTGTCACTGCCAAAAATATTGCCGGAAAGGTATCGAAGTCTATAAAAGTCAATGTTATTGGTGAGTGAGCTTGAAATTGTCTGTGAAATTACTTGTAATAACAGTTAATTTAAACCCAATTTTTCATAACAGTTAATTTAAACCCAATATTTCTATCATAGGGAAACCTGGCCCACCAAGCAAACCTTTTGAATTCACAAAAGTGTCATCTTCCACTATTGCCTTCTTTTGGAACCCAGTCCAAGATGATGGTGGTAGCCGCATCAAATATTATGCTGTGGAAAAAAGAGAAATTGACAGAGATAGTTGGCATCCTGTGGCCTGTCCTAAGGACTTGGCTATTACAGATACTGAGCTAATGTCTGGAAAAGAATATATCTATCGAATAAGGTATTTTTTTGTGCATGATTGTCTCAGATTTATTTGTTTCCAGGTGAACTTACTGTGATATTTTTATAAATAGATCTATTAATCAACATGGATGCAGCACTTGGCTTGAAACAGATCCGGTTCTAGCTAAAAATCCATGCGAACGACCGGAGAGACCAGATAAGCCTAGTGTAAAAGGTGTTACTCGTGATGCCGTAACGGTATACTGGAATGCTCCAGAAAATGATGGTGGATCTGTAATCACGTCATATGCTCTTGAAAAAAGGTCTCGCCTCAACAGAAATTGGAGAAAAGTGACTACTGAAAAGATTATGGGTACTCAATTTAGGGCAGGCTGCTTGCAAGAAGGACAAGAATATGTTTTCAGAGTTGCAGCGATAAATGAGGCTGGGCAAGGAGACTTCAGTTTAGTAAGCAGTCCTGTCATTGCTGCTAATCAAATAGACTGTCCTGGTTCCCCAAAGCCCATCGTCACAAACACCACAAAAACTACAGTATCTCTAGCATGGAATATACCTGATAGTGATGGTGGCTCAAGAATTAAAGGATATGTAGTGGAAAGGAAAGATGAAGGTAAGTTTATACAATATCTGCAATATACATTGCTTATGAAAATAATCCATTTACTGGCACAAAAATACCATATTTTTCTATTTTGCAGATGATGAAGATTGGTTGAAAATCACTGGCCATGAGCTTCGTTCAACAAGTTTTGTAGCAGGGGAATTAAAGGAAGGTGGAAGATACAACTTCAGAGTTTCTGCTATTAATGATGCTGGTAGAGGGCTGCCTGGACTTATACCAGAAATTGTTGTAGTTGGAGATAAGCATGGTAAATCTTATCATTTGCTATGGTCTAAATATATAATTTAGTATCTGTAAAAAAATCGCCTTGCTTTCTTGTGTTAACAGAAGCTCCAGTTGCAAACTTTGACTCTACTATCAAGAAAAATAAAATTCTGGCTCGTGCTGGAGAGACTATACGCCTGAATGCTGTAATTGATGGCAAACCAGATCCATATATTCTCTGGAAAAAAGATGGTAAATATTGATTGAAGATCATATTAATCTTATGCTTGTTTAGATTTTCAAACTTATCCGATTTGTATTTTCTAGATGAACAATTGCCTGAAGAAGCAAGGCTGCATGACTCAAGCAGAACTGTTGTAATCAGAAATTGTCAACGCCGCCACACTGGCTGTTATGTATTAAAAGTAGTAAATCCAGCTGGGGAATCTCAATGTCAAGTTGACGTCTCTATACAAGGTATGTCTTTCAAACAAAATTTTCTGTTGCAACACAAATATTTTGTTATATACTGCTTTCAACATGTTGAAATTTGGTCACAGATATTGCTGGTCCTTGCATTGGTCCACTCTCACAATCTGATATAACCAAACACACCGTGACATTGTCTTGGGAGGCACCAGAAGATGATGGTGGATGCACAATCACAAATTATGTTATTGAAAAGCGTGAATCTTCTAGGAGATCTTGGACACGTGTTCCCATGGTGGTAACCAGAACTACAGCAGTTGTGAGGGTAGGTTTTGATGCTCATCTGACTTTTCAATATACTGATCTTGGTTTATATTAAAACATATTTGTTTTTTTAAAGAGCTTGATCGAAAATGAATCGTATATGTTTCGCGTATCTGCTGAAAATATCATTGGTGTTGGCCCAACTTTGGAATCCAGCCTTCCTGTGACTGCAAGGGACCCAGTGTGTAAGTAATTATTTATCATTAACTGATCAAATATTTTTCTGTAACTGTTCAGCACGTGACATTTAATATCCGATAATCTTACTAGCAACTCCTGGCCGACCAGAGGAAATTCGTGTGTCTGATGTCACAAAAGATTCTGTAACTCTTGAGTGGAAACCTCCCGTATTCGATGGTGGCTT